TGAGAAACTTAAAAAAAGCTTATCGTTCTTTAGAAGTGGGCGATGGAAAATTTTCTAATTAAAAAAGTTTTCCTACGAATATTGCTCTGTACATGATAGTTTGTGTTTAGAATATGTTGAATGTTTAGAGTTCATCATTTTTGGATGTACCTTCTTGCGAAATCATTGCGTTTACACGTTTTACTGGAATGGTGAGAAATAATGTTATTTTACTGATTCGAGATCGATTTTGTAAAATATTGGACGCATTGCTAAGTTCATTGATGTTCAAGGTTAGCTAAGAATAGAGAATGATTCATGCGGTTATTAAATATTCTTATTTTGTACTGACACTGCGCTTTCCACGCAACGGTGTAATGAGTTCATAAAGGATTATGTCCAGCACAAGTTAGTCCCATAGAGCTGGCTACAACATGTATAACAAAAAAATTAAATGTGCCAAGAGAGCATACACAATTCGTACATTCTACATAGTCCTTATCCATCTGATAACGCTAACGCTAGTTTCTTCCCTGCCCTAAGCACCTGCCCCGATACTATAACATCACTGCCGGAGGTTATGCCAGACGAAAGGTAGGGTTTGGCGTATGAAAGTCTTTGTTGTATGGCGTCGTCTCGACCGACCGCATGCCTTGTCTATATATGTCCCTCTAAGTGCGTAAAATTTCTGGGGTGGAAGCGTATAAACATACTGGCACCAACAAAATGGGACATACCTTCCCTCACCCCGTACAACACTCGACCCCCGACTCTCAACCCCTACATGTTTTTCTGAAAATCACCAGGAGTTTCTGAGTCGGCAAAAATGACGCTTGAGCGATTTTTATTGTTTTACTATGCCAGCCCAAACGTTTCTAATGTTTTGTCTTAATTTATAAGATGATATGTGACGTGTGATTGTCCATTTTATTTGTGATAATTTCCTTAGTACGATTTACTCCGGCAGATGCTAGAGCTGTTAGAGAGAGAGAGAGAGAGATAGAGAGAGATAGAGAGAGAGATAGGAGGAGAGAGAGAGTAATATTCAGTAAAGCTAGTGTGACGAAAACATTAGTGGAACCTAAACAACATTTCCATGTTAATGGTTAAACAGAAACTCGGACAGTGAAAACTTGATCCCGCTCTCCTAATCTTGTCTGAAATGGGATGGGATGCGTGTAATTGCCAGATTAGGATTCATTTTGTGCAAAACTCCTACAGACTGTCCTTTCAAATACTGCTTTTTGCCGAGTAAGTCATCAGTATCGTAAATAGATGTATGTCTGAGGGAAAATATCGAAATATACACACAGTCTTAAAAAAATAAGGAATCCAGGACTTATAGCATTAATTATTATCAAAGAGTAGGCAGGTACAGGTAGGCAGGGGATATCTTCGGAGGAGATAAATAACAAGCTTGTTTAGGAAAAGCGTGTTGCAACATCTATTCACTAATGTGTCTTTACGAATTTATAGTCTCGATACCATGTTCTAATTTTTAAAAGCAAAGTTCAAAAATGCTCCTGTGTATAAAGACTAGTAAGCGTTTCTTCGCAATGTTCCCGAAGGATGCTAGAAGTCAAAGTTCTGAGTTCTGACGTTGTATTTGTGATATATTGGGGTCACAGTTAGAGTTGCCAGCACATAAATTACCGACGCTAGACAAAAGACACCCCAGCATTTTTTGTAATAAACAAATCATCGTTGCCATTTTAATTTTTTTCGCAATACATATCATACGAAAAATGATCAGGAAAATAGAGGAGGTCGAACAGAATTTATGAAAAAAGAAACTGTAAATACATAATCTACGTACCTCACTCCTTATTTAGAAATAAGCACAAAATGAACTTACCTTATTTAACTCAACTTAAAAATTAAAGAGTGCCGAAAATCATCTACAAAGTTAAATATGGGAATCCCCGCATACTTATTGAAAACCCCTCCCAGACGCCCTCTAAATTAGGACAAATCCGGGAAATCCCCCAGCCCTAGTCACAGTAGATCAAAAAGGTTTCAGACTCTCCCTTAACCTAGTTTTACCGTTTTTGTGTGTAACAAAAATATATGAAAGTTCCGAACTTTGTTTTTACATCTTTCTGAAATTTCTGAACATCAGAGTGTAGCCAAAAATTCTAAGGAGTAAATTTGAAACTTTTCGAATCTTTTTATATTTTTCTAAACTTTAATGATCTTGTAAAGAATTTTGCGGATACAAGATTGTATTAGTTTCTTTATTGATTGGCGAATCTATATGTTTTGATGGATAAAATTTTTGTTGATATTTTTTAGTCTTTATGTTATCCTGACAGTTCAGTGAGACCGCACATACATATATCTTTTACATTGTACTGTGAAAAGGGCCACTGAGGAGGCCGAAATGTTAAGCTACATCTGCAAAACAACCACAGGACAATTTTCAGATTTCCATATTATTTTTTTATTCATTTGTGAATTCACATATTTTCAACAAAATAGATAGGATCTTTTGGAATCTTTGGAATTCGTACGTTTA